ATATTCAAGTATATTACAGGTATCAAACAACATTTTTCTGCTCATAGCAGGAGCAGAGGTAGAAATAACAGCTCTCAGGAGATTATTTACTTGGAAATAAAGCACAGCTTTACATTCTTTGTCCTATTAATTTTTGTATCTCAACTCTTAAGCTGTGAAGAGACAATCTGTAAAAAGAAGTTTTGCTTATCATGAAGTATTGCTGCACATGTTACAGACCTTCTAAAAATACAGCCATTTCTATTAATTTGGATATTTGAAAACTACAGGCTTTGGAATTTAAAAATCATTAAGCAATTCCTATTGATTCTGCAAATAATTCAGTCTTATCTGTAAAGAATTAAGAATTTAGTCAGATTTTGTCCTGATCTAGAGAAGCACTGAAGTATGAGATCACTTTAGGAACGACAGGGTCACAAAAATAACCTGCTGAGCAACATGCTTCAGCACAGCTTCAGAACCAGGCTCAGGTTAATCATAAACGTAAGCACAATTTGAGCCCAGGTTCCTAGAAACAAAAATACTCTCCAAATCAATGTTACAGATAGTGGTCTTCTTGGCTGAAAATCAGTTGCTATATTAGAAGTGAAGGATATGCAAGAAATTACATTCTAAAAATTTTTCTCACTGAAATGAACACAAGTTCATAAATGTGTACGGCATAAATGAATATGGCATTTCACAGTACAGTTCACACAAGTTCTGTTTAGCTTTGCCATGTCATAAATGGCAAACCCATTTTAGAAATGCCTGACTTTCTGCAGCTTTGTTTATAGCCCTAATCCAAGCCTTGTCATGCCTCATTGCCAAGGAATATCTAAGTCTATACAGACTGGAACACAGCAATCTTATAGCAGTATCCTGGCTGGAATCACCTGCTTGCACATAAGCATAAATCCTTTATCTAAACAGCACCAATGAACAAGCTTCTAGCAACTTTAAGCACATGGTGAACTGAGCTGCTGCAGCAGAAAATACCTGAACAGAGAGGAAACCTAAGTGGTAGAGTGCAAGGTCACACAGCAATTTTTCTACTTTGAAATAGCAACAGTAGGCACCCAAGACACTAACTGAAACAAAACATGGAGGTGTACTGACTTGGCATTTAGACACAGATCATGATGATTTCTGTAAGGGACTGATTCAGTGATGAAAAAAAAACAAAGCAAAGGAAAAAACAAATACCCACATTGACTAAAATAGTCTTTGTATCATGTGCCAATGCACATTTCTTAGCACTCAAGACATTTAAAAATACAAATGCAGAAGGAAATTAGCATTTTCCTCTGTAATTGTATTGCATGAGGAATTATACTTGAACTCAGTATTTAAATAAAAGCTGCTCATTTCTTGCAGCTAATAATAAAACTTGACCTTTATGACCTTTCATTCAGTGTTCTCCAAGGGCATTAAGCCTGATTGAACTACCGAGTCTCAGTGAAAAATCAGGCATTGATAGCCCCATTGTACAGGGAAGCAGGGAAGCAATGGGTTTTCAGCACCTTTGCAGACCAGGACACAAATAACTTGTTTAACTTCACCCAGCAAATTACTGAAACAACTGAGAAGAGACAATCCTAAAATAGACAGGATACAGTGTTCACTGGCCTCACCAGAGGTAAAGGACATAGGGTTCAAAACACTGGTAAGCAGATGCTGTGCTATGTATACTACATTCCCAAAGTTACTCAACACTTGTAAAGCTGAACCTGCATTAAAAATGATCAGGAGTTTTGGAATTTTTCTTTAGTATAAAGATGAACAAATCTTGGGGCAATCCCAAGCGCAGCTACAGGCTGGGCAGAAGATGGACTGAGAGCAGCCCTGAAGCTTGGGGTGCTGGCTGATGAGAAGCTCAACATAAGCTGGCAGTGTGCGCTTGCAGCCCAGAAAGCCAACTGTATCCTGGGCTGCATCAAAAGAAGTGTGGCCAGCAGGTCAAGGGAGGTGACTCTCCCCCTCTACTCAATCTCATGAGACCCCACCTGGAGTACTGCATGCAGCTCTAGGAGCCCCAACAGAAGAAGGGTGTGGAGCTTCTTGAGCGAGGCCAGAGTAGGGCCATGAAGATGATCAGAGGGCTGGAGCACCTCTCCTATGAAGACAGGCTGAGAGTTGGGCTTGTTCAGCCCAGAGAAGAGAAGGCTCTGGGGAGACCTTGCAGCAGCCTGCCTTTACCTAAAGGGGCTTACAGGAGAGCTGTAGAGGTGCTTTTGACAAGGGCATGTAGTTAGAGGACAAGGGGGAATGGCTTTAAACTGAAAAAAAGTGGATTTAGGTTAGACATTAGGGGAAAAAATCTTTACTGTGAGGGTGGTGAGACACTGGAACATGTTGTCCAGGGAATTTGTGGATGCCCTGCCCCTCAAGTGTTGAAGGCCAGGTTGGACGGGGCTTTGAGCAACCTGGTCTAGTGGAAGGTGTTCTTGCCCGTGGCAGGGGGGTTGGAACTAGGTGATCTTTATAGTCCCTTCCAAGCTAAAGCGTTCTGTAAGTCTATGAAATAACTCCACAACAGAGATCAAGGCATGCCAGAAGATGTTTCATAAGCTCGCATACTCAATGAAATTTCCATTCTCTGTGTTTTTCAGACTTCTTTCACACTAACTAAACCCCAGTACTTTCTCTGCCCACTATGCTTTACTTTTCCTCCTTTAAATAATCTTGAAAAAATAGGATTTTTCTTCTGAATCCATTTGAACTAGATGATTACTGTAAGTGCAGCTGCTATCAGGAATGAACTACATTTTTAGACAATTCTCTGATTTTTAAATTGTTAATGAATGTGAAGCTGTTTATGAGTCATGGTCCTTCACACAGTGAGAAGAGGGCATGGTTTTTAACACTTGATTTTTGCGTAGTAACTCTTTTGCTTACTTGAGAAGGTGAGAAATTGAAACTTAGAAAGCTGAAGCCAAGGGCAGGAATATGAGAATTTTGATCTTGGCTCCTGTTTCGACCACTACTGCACATTTGTTCCTGTTGACTTTCCAGATTTATACTGTGGGTGAGCAATGAATTTAACTATGTGCCAAATTGCTAAGATCAGGGGTAGTGCCACTGATTTACAGTACAAACCCACCACAATTAACTGCGAAAGATTATAAAATCAAATGTGCTTAGCTTGGTGTACACACCAAGATGATTTTACTACTTAGGAACATCAGTATATGACAGTACAGTCCTCTCAGTGTGGGCAGAGCTTTGCTGACAAAAGTGTGCTTCACATAGGTGAATTAACAGCCTTCCTGCCTTCTCTGGGCATAGTATGCTGAGTAAGCAAGTGTTGGTCCTGTGGCTAAATATAGAACTATGGGTGAAAACTCCTGCTCTCCTGTAGGAGAGTTTGTGTGCTGGGTTGCTTGTGTGACCCTGGGCAAGTTATTTAGTTTCCATATGTCCCACTGCCCTTTCTGTAAAATGGAGACAATGGCGCTTCCAAATATAATATGAAAGTAAGTATGCTAGAGACAACTACTCTTCAGAAAAGCCAGTGCATTATCCACTGCTATAGAGATAATTTAGGGATGTGAAGCCTTTTGAAAGGACCAATATACTTGCGGAAAAATCCTTGATTTTAAAGTGAAGATGCTTGATCTGTAATTCCTGTAAGTGAAATTATTTTCTAAGTTAAGCAACGCATAGCCAGTACCTCTCAGCAGACCATATGAACTGAGAAATAAACACCTTCGGGATTCCCGTCAACACGTAATGGACTCATCAGTAGTGCTAATGCTAAAAGATTACTGTTAAGTCAGTTTTCAAACGTTCATTTTCAAAGAATTTTGGTCTGTTGAATATCTGTATTTGGTTGGGGGTAAGGGGGAGATGAGGGAAAGGTCTCGGTGACCAGCTCAGATAATATACTTACGAAGCTATCTCTGGAATTCTTACGTTGGTACCTATGACTATCAAATTCATTGGAAAGAGTTTATCGCAAAGTTAAATGTCAGCAGCTGCAAGCCTTTAAATGGAACATACTTCAGCTCCTGGGCAATGGCAGCGATCTGTTCCACCCTGTCCTGGTGAGCAGCCAAATCGCTCTCAAAAGCTTCATGTTTCCTTAACATGGCGCGGACTTCTGTCAGAGAAGCAGATTCATAATCCTTCTGAAGTAAGATCTGTTCTTTGCCTGAAAGAGGAAATTTGAGTGTTAGTAATATTTTAGTAATTTACTGGTCAGAACAATTGCAAATTTAGTCAACTACTTAAACTGAGGCATAGTGGAAATCACATGTATGATGTGAAGTCCCACCCCCACTGAAACCCATAGCAAATTGTCAGCACAACAGTGTTAATTAGAAATATATTTTTTTAAAGCTCTCTCAGTAATTTCTTTATTTTTGCATAGGCTGTTTATACTAGTCTAAAATAGCCAGTATCACATTGCTTGAGAAACTGGCATAAAAATGGTATGTTGGCAAAAACTGGGGCTCTAAACTATGGTTATAAGTCTGTAGAGTAGGCTTATGAAATCAGAAATCACACTGCTATGCTCAGCTTCACTCTTATAATGTCCTATTATTCTTTTTCATGTTCTGCCTTCAATTCATTTCAGCACTTTCAAAGGAGGGTTAAAAAACAAATGCATGCCTGCCTTTTGTATCAAACACTGACTTTAAAGTGGAAAATGCCAACCTATTTATAAGAGCAGCAAAGCAGAAATCAAAAACTGAAATACCACTCTTCAGTAGCTCCTGTGTTGGACAACTGAATCTATACAGATAGCCCCTACAACTGCAGCTCACCACATGGCATTACACAGCTCTTGAATTCTAGAGCCACAAGGGACTATTGTTCCTTTGCTATGTACCAGCTTATGTGAAGTTTTCCCTGCATAACAGCCATAACATGCCGCCAGGAGTAGCTTATGCTCAGAAAATAAGCTATTGGTGCTGATAAACATTGTAGTTTCCCTTCTAGCATATGTTTGGCAGCTGTTGACAGCCCTGTATGCTTCAAGCAATTGTGTGGACTCTGGTTTCCTTTCACAGTGTGAAAAGATTCTGGCTGGAAAAAGCGAGAAGCATGGCAGAAGCAGGAAGACTGCTGTCAGAGCAAACAATAGAATGATAGAGCAGATCTATATTTAATTGTCCCAAACAAAACTGTATGCCAGTGTATGGTCCTATGGCTGTTACAACTTCATGTAAGGTTAGGTTACCATTAAAAAATAGAACTAGAAATGGGGTCTAATCCGTGGTATGGAGCAAAGCAGAAATGAGTCCATTATCATGTAGTTTATGTGGACTGTTCAAAACATCACGATGACCAACTGATAATAAACTCAGAATAACTCTGTTAATAATGTCTGTTGTGGTTTAAGCCCAGCCGACAACTTGGAACAGCTTAAACCACGACAATGTCACACTTAACCAGTGGTGTCACCGGGTTGCTGATGCACAAATACATAGGAATCCATTACCAGTAATGGCCTCTATTCAAATGCTGAATATTCCCATTAAGTTTGACTCATTACCTCAAGAGTATAATTTTGACAGTTACATTTCATTAGCAACAATGCCTACAAGTTAGGATCATGACTACAGTCAACAAAATCTACAATTTTATCTGTTATTATTCTAGGTTTCTAAAACTGTCCAAACTACTTGTGAGTTTCTGGCTGGCAAATGTTCAGCACTGACAGTTCAAATCTGAACATGTATACATGAAAAATGCTAGAAGCCATCTCTGCTCACCATATGCCCACTGTTCATGAGTGGAAGCCTTCTGCCTAAATTTCTCAGCCAAGTGTTCCAGTCTTTCTAGCCTTCGTATTTCATTCAGCAGCCACTCTTCATAGCCTTTCTCAGCTTGTTCAAGTCTCTGCCAAGCGCCGGCAATATCCTGTGAAGAGAATACATGGGAGAGAAGGGATGAAACTATAGTCTTCTTTAGTCCAAATTTGCAGATTTCAGAGTCATTCACAATTTTGCTCCAAAAAGAGAAGTCTTTATGTCCAGATTTTGTAAAATCACATAATCATAGAAAATGTTGTCAGGCAGCTCAGGAAGTCTTGCGGTCCACACATTTACTGCTAATAGCGCATCCTATTCAGGTGGGTTGATGAAGGAACCCCTTTACAATGGCTTCCAATCACAGCTACACATTTGGTGTCTTCATGATACATTGCTTTTACCTCCCATCTTACAATGTGCATGTTCTTCTATGACATTCCTATATATTCCCAAAATAAAAGTGCTTTGCTCTCAGAAGTTGACAATAGCAAAAAATAGAGGATTTGGTGCATATTTGCTCTGGAATACAAGTTCATTTCACTTTCTGTGGTGCACAAAGTTTTGTGAGCTTCCTCAGAAACTCAAAGGCGTAAGCAGGAAACTGAAGTGGGGAGTGGGCAATGGCCCTTTTCAGATAACACAATCCTCTGTTTATCAAATTGTCAAAACCAAAACACAGTGATAGAACAGAGTACAGAAACAGGTTTGCTGTCTTCCACAGGAAATGTTTTGACCTGCAGCTGTTTTGCAATACTTATGAGAAGATGAGAATTCTTGGTACTGACTATTCTCATCTTCACAGACATAAGAAAGAAACAAATTTAATTTTAAAAAGTATAAAAGAGCAGAAACATATATCAAGCAATGTCTACTTCTGTAAGTCTGATGACCAAAATGTCAGTGAGACCACTATGAGTTTTGCTTAAATAAACCATATATGGCCTCACTGATAAAACTCCCAAAAGGAAGCTCTGTATTGTCTCACATCTCAAGACAATTTGCTCTTGGAGAAAGCCTCAAAGAGGCATGAGCATGCTTAAGAGAAAGCAAGATATTAACAAAGTGCAACAAACTGAAGTTTCTGAGGATGACTTAAAATGGCATTTCAACCCTTCACGTTGAAACGTTTGTGAGAATGCTGATAAAAAGGAGAACAGAATATGGATGCTTCCTTTACTTACTGAAACCATTTTTCCCTCTGATGGCATGAAAGCTGGCCGATTGCTGATTCTCAGTTTTGTCTGCAGGGTGTTGAAATTGATCTCCAGTTGACATTTCTCTTGGACTTTGGGAGGTTTGTGTTTGCGGCGGTAGTCCCGAAAATCCTCTAATTTCTTCTGCATAGCCTGCATTGTTTTTTCTGGAGTCCTGTTTTCCAGCCAAGGAATTGTCCGGCGAATCCATTCTAAAAGCTTTCAAACCAACACAAACAATTGAAATAAAGGGAAAAGTAACCCAAAAAAGATCATATTGAATGCACAAATCCTAATCGAGTTTGCTCCATTTTAATATTAATGACTTCAGTTGGTATCGGTGCCTTAAAGGCAAGTGAGCATAATATTTTTAAAGCTGAGCAATACTCTTGTAACTAATTTTCCCAGATATTCTAGGTATTCCTAGAAATAACTCACTTTTCAGAAAGACAGACACCCATGTAAGGTGTCTCTAGCTAATTACTCAAAACCTGAGTTACCAAGAATCACTTGCCACTTTCAAAAGTATTGGTTTTGATGTCTCAAATAGTTAAAGCTACAAGATCAGGACAGACACCAGCCAAGTAACTCAGGTCATATAAAAAACTTCACTCTGAAGTCAGTTAGTGCCAACATAACAGTACTGTCTTTGTGTCTATGATCCCAGTGTCTTTTTGCATGTTATGTGTTAAATACAAGGGAGGTCTCGCTTGTGCACTACGCATCTATAGTCCTGACTTGACAATTTGCCATTTACCAAGAAAGGACAGGAGGGGTACAACATGCTCCCCTTTTTCATTCATTGGTGCCTGCATTCACAGGTACATTCTGAACACCCTGACAGACCCTGTCTGGGGGTGCTTTACAGTGCACAAAGCCAACAGGCTTGCTTGGAGTGACAGAAACCTGGACGTTCCACGGGTGGTCAAGGAGGCTACCTCTGGATGTTACAGGGACAGCAAGTTTGGTTTTGGGGCAGACCGATGACAGTTCTCAGAACACCCTTTTTGGCCCATTAATGAGGCCAAAATGAGTGATTTGCTGGGGGTCACACAGAAAGTCTATGGCAAAGGAGTCACTGAACCTTGACACCTTGAGCAACTGAGCTTTGTACCCTACCACTGTGACATTTACCCTCATAGTGTCTTCACTTTGCTGTCTTGCAGAGAGTGAGTGAATCTTTCAGTATTTTATCAACATAACTGTCACCACATTACAGATAACAGATGTCTTTACCTCACTTGCTAGTCTCTCATACTCCTCCATCAACCTCTCATTTTCCTGATTCACAGCAAGCACCTTACAGATTCGGTTAGCTGCAGTCTCAGCCTGTAAAACACAGCAAACAAACAGGACATATTCATAAACACATTCTGAGAAAGGCACTGGCTTGACGAATGTGGCTGCTGCAAATAAAAATAACATTGGCTTATAGGTGTTGATTGTGCTCCTAAGTTTCTTGGATGTATATTTATTCTCCTTCTGCAGTCACAGATTCCAGTGGCCTTATTATACAAGGGGAATTTCACACTGCCATTACAGTCATCTAATAAATCTTTTATTTTCCATGATGACTTAGGCCATTCCTAAAGTTACCCTGTTAGGTTAATTTTTTTAAATCACACCAAAAAGTATTAGATTGGTTAGCTATGCTGGAAAGACACCACATGCGATTCAGGAGTCCCAGACCACTTTATATTTGCCCATCATACGTTAATATACCCTTGAGAATATATGCAACTCAACCACTGACAGCAGTTCTTTTCCTGCCTCCTGCCAAATTTGTGACAGCACTGTGTAGCTCTGCCATCTTTAAAATTTCCATTAGTAGTTTGACATCACAGGTCACACTTTCATATAAATGTGAGTCTAGAGTATATCTAATCAAATAAATATCTGTGTAGACTCCTGTCTTATAGAGTATTTGGAATCCCCCTTTTGCATGAACAGCTAAACCTTCATACCCAGAAGCAAGAGGACACAGTGGCATAGGTGTAGAGAGCAGGAGGACTACTAGACAGGAAGGGAAATTAAATCCTGAGGATGAAGGAAAAATCATCTACTTTAAGAGTACTTTTTTGTTTGGTTGGTTAGATTTTTTTCCACATAACTTGGTTTATGTCTGTTTATAGGCTAGATCTGTATGAAGCAGAACAGTGGTAAATGCCACATTTGTAAGCGAGAATCCCATCCTGTATGACAGATCTGCTGCTGCTGTTCTTGTCTTTTATATTAGTACTTTAATCCACAAATAATTTTGTTGGATTCAGTGGGAACCAGGCACAAATACTGTTTTGGATGTCTTCTGTGCCTTTCTGTGTCTTTAGGCATCTTTGAAAATCTAGTCCTAAATTACTACTCAGCATGAGTAACTCTAGAATACTCTCCATTTCCAGAAGTCAAACATTCTTTTATGCAGCAAATGCATAAGATGTTGATGTAGCAACAAGCAACAACTCCATTTCACAGTATCTTCAAATACAGTTTTTCTGAAATAGTCTTTATAATCGCCAAATAAAGACCCAAAGTTAGATACAGGAAGGTACATTGCAATTAAAGAAGTTCAACTTGCTACACAACATGTAACTAAAACAGGTTCAAGTGTTGGTTAAAAACAAGTATTAGTGCTTGAATAATACTTGTAACTGTTAATTAAAACCACAAAGAACTAAATTAGGGAGTTTTAATACACTAGTGGAAATGTGAAACAACCAGTCAAAAACACAGCAACCTGAAGGGACAGTTGATACCTGCTCTGCTCCAGCAAAAGCATGGTAGAAGCAGGACACATATGTCATGATAGCTCTCTCATCGGGTTTGGGAGTGTTCACAATATCTACAAGAGGGGGTGAGAAATTAAAACAAAACAAAACAAAAAAAAAAAAATGGAGGAGTAGAAAACAGAATGAATAAATAAAAGCACAATGTGTCATTGTGATGATTTTCTTGTCCATAGCGCTGTATTCTAGAAACTCTATGAAGCTGTAATAAATTTAGTGTTAGATTGATGGATGCTGCCAGAATAAAACATACATTAGAAATCCAACACGAGCTCTTACAAAGAGATGGACTTTTTTTAATAAGCTTGATCCTGCAGTATTGTCACAAGTAAAGTGACCTTGATTTTTACCAGTACTATCTGTGTTAGAACTGGCACTTATATGTCTGGTGACCTAGAATGTGTGGGGGGGGTGGTTATTAAGACACAGGAAAGTCAGACTATATTTTGATCTGGGGAGATGTTCTCTGGAAGTTGCATGTAGACTAGTTCATAACCTTAGCATTGTATACCAGTATGGTTTATATTATTAATACCTGAAGTATGTTCAACCCTGAACAGCCTTGCTTTTTAAAATTTTCCCTCTTTTCATTATGACATGATTCCAGAGATCTTCTGAGATGTCTGTGTATGATTCTGTGTCTATTTTGCATAATAGAAACATTTTATGTTGCCATTTGTACTTACCATTAAGCATTTAACATTTTAAAAACAATCCTGAAAGCATAAAAGAAGGGTTTATTTTCTGAGCATTTGTTATGATGATTTTGACATCTGTAACAGGAATAATATCCAGCAGGGGGGAAAAAGATGGCATTCTGCTACTGAAATTGTTTTTTCCACTATGAGCTTATTTTCATCTTGCATTTTTATAGGTGCTTCAAATGAATGCACACAAGTTCAGTTAACACAAGTTGAAAAGAATAATATCCTCTATTCCATTCAGTAACCAGCTGTCAAAAACCTACTGGATATTATTAGTAAATATACAGAAAGATGAGATAGGAAGGTTTGTTTCTATGGAGCAAATGGATAGACTACTACTGCCTCTACGAAGACAGTGGCTCACAGAGAAAATCAGGCAACGGGAAATGAGCTCAGCTGTAAGACAGTTCTAGAAACTAGTGAGGAAAGGATCACTAAAGGAAAAATTGCTGAAAGAAACAAGACAGAAGGTGAAGGATGAGATCTGATGCATCTTCTACAATCTCACCTTCTGAGCACCAGCAAATGCATGGTAGTAACAGGAAACATAAGTCATAATGGTTCTTTCATCAGGTCTGGCAGTGTTTACTACATCTGTGTAGAGAGAAGAGGGTTAACTGCTCAGGAATTCTCACAAGGTACTTCCGTCAGATTATGCTGATGATGCCACCTCAGTGCTGTAAGGATTCAAAATAAATACACCATTATTTAGGTTGCATCTGTTTACTGATACCAGTGCAAAACTACCTAAGCTTTAGGAATCAGTAAATGGAAAAGATCTAACTCTCCCTGAAATGCAAAAACATTTGAAGGCTGAGACTGTACAGAAGGGTATTGCTAACTTCTGATTTGTTGAAACTTCCAACCAGATGGCATGGCTGGCAGATCTACTGGGTTCAGCTTCACTGTCACTCCAAAGCAAATTCATCTAAATCACTAGAATTATCCCAGAGTTAAACACAACCACTGACCGTCACAAAATAGGAGTGCATATAGTGTACATTAGCACAGGGTTTCCATGACTGACAGGGTATTTGACATATATTTGAAACCTGTATAACTCCTGCAGTGTAGAAATGCATTTTGTGCTAAGAAAAGCCTGGATCGTAACAGTTTTGCAGTCCCTGCACCACTCTCTCTTTTTAGTTAATAACGTAAATCATGGGAGAGTTTGGCTTGGCTGACTGATAGCTTTGTCCCTATTACAGCAAGAAAGAATAGAAGTATAGAGGGTGCAATCAAGGTACGGATACATCGGTAAAAACGGACCTTTGCAGTTCTTAACAGAGAAAGGCAGAAAAAGATGGTTTTACACCAGTTACAGCTGAGTGATGAAGGATGCCAGTGCAAGCTGCAAGGATTCCTGCCAATTTAAGGAGTTGGAAGATACTGGTGTGAAAAGACCCAGGAATGAGGTGGCAATTTCTTGTATTAACAGTGAGATTTCCAAGTTCAGGACTGAAGTACTTATTGATTTTGCATCTACTTCACATAGTTGTGAACTAAACTTTGCAAAGTTTCCACAGAGAACACGGTGGAAATAAAGAGAGCAAAAAGTGATGGTGAATACTTAAAGGGTGTTAGAAGCAGCATGATTTTACTTCCTCCTCCTCTGCTGAGAAGGAGAATAGTAAGATAAGGACTAGAATGTACAGGAAATCTGGTGAAGAGTAAAAAAGGTGTCTTACATTGTATGTGAAGATTAAAAAATGAGGTTCAATGGTAAGGCGCGAGCACTTCTGTAAATTCCCTTGCACAGTATTTCAGAGTAAAATAATTAAGTATTACTTCAAATGGCAATTGCAGTTCCAAAGATTAAAACTATTTATTTTGAAGCACAAAGGTGAAACCAAGAAACCTCTTCAATGAAGGGGTTACAATCCAGATTTTCCAAATTATCCTGCATCGGCCTAACTTTCCTACCAAAGATTTCAAGAAGAGCAGACACAGTCAGCAGGAGTGCTCTCAATAATTCCTGTGTTATCACTGCTCTAGTGACAAGCCACCCAAGTCTGCATACTTGAAAAAGAATGCTTTGCACTAGTATAGGCAAATTCCAGTATTTTGGCAGCATTTTTTGCATGGAGCACAAAAGTTTGGCTGTCTTGAAGAAATTGCAGAAATTTTAATAAGTATTTTTTGTTATTTGTCAACAAATTCTAAAGATTATTGGAGAAACCAAATACCAAACTATTGTTAAAACCATCACTGCAAAAAGTTTGCGATGAAAACAAAAATTTGCTTCCCTCAACCTAGCTCTCTTTCCTAGGAGGTATGTTGTTAGTATATTTTCAAAGTTCTGTACTTCTATTTCTGGCCCTCTCACTTAAACATTTTAAAAAGAGAATATGCGTTAAACTGCTAACAGTTCTATTTATCTTTATTAGATATTTATTTCTTAAGGCAAGGATTATCTTTTGATCCTGCTTTTCACCCCAATTATCACTGAGATAACTGAGGTAATGAGGCCATGTCCTGAGAAGAGGGTCCAAAGTACTATAATAAATATAAACAATAGCAAACCACCAGGGTGAAATTATCCAGTAGTTGGGAAACAAGAAGGAAAAAAATTGTTTAAAACACAAAGCAGGTTGTTCCATTATGATTCCTGTGGAAGGAATAGTGAAAATTTGCTAGTTACAAAACAAAAGATGTTTTACTGTCTTCTACTTGTGAGTAACACAAACTTCAGTAAGATACAACTCTCACCTTCTGCATCCAGCATCTTAGGGATATCCAAATGCTTTTCAGCAATTTCCATGGCAAGGTTGATATTTCCTATGGGGTCATCCTGTATCAAAGAAGAAAATACGAGTCAAAGACAGTATTTCCTTGAAGCAAGACTACAGTACTTACACTAAAACTTACTCTGTTTTCCAAACTGGGAATTGGAGTCACAACTATTGTCCTTCAAAAGGCTGAGTCTAGGTGAACTTTTTTTATCTACTGCTATACTTTCAAAAGTAAATATTAATAACCTATTATGTACCACTAGGACTCTCATGCAAGTATATTCTGGAGGCTAACATATGTAACATATGCCGTGTACACTCATAATTCCGAGCTAATTCTGAATGAAGTACAGCAGTAATACATACACAGTCAAGGCCACTGTAGGCTGTACTAGACCACTCATCACAAATTTAGTCCTGCATGTTTTATAGCTACTGTATGTTATATTACAGTGATAAGAATTCTACTGAGTTGTCAACTGGTCAGGTGCATGCATGAGAGAAAGCAAGCACAGACAGAACAACTCTCCAGAAGCAGCAAAATTTCTCAGTTTTGGCTTGGACAGACAAATCTGTGATGCCTCTACAAATGGAATTTTAGACCTGTAGGAATTCAAGAACTTCCTGTGGGTCTGAGATTTTGCTTTTGTGTTTTTTTGAAGGAAAGAGAAAGGAAACAGTGAGCACAGTTCAGATAAAAGCACACATTTCATGTCTTCCACTACAGACAATGGAAGATAGTGACAGATTAGGTCTTGTCTTAAGGCAGCCTTCCCATACTAGCTTGGAGAGTAAACACTCTATGTGAAATGGCAGTCCACGCCATTAATGCTTTCATTATTTTCATATATTTTTTACAATGCCAATGTCTACAGAGAGAGGTTGGGAAAATGAGACACAGAAGAGCAAAGTTAGAGATGTTGCAGGGCACTGAAAAAGTGTTAACTGGTTTTCTATAGGGAATTTCCAGGGCTTCCATTTGAATACAAACATTTTCTATAAAAGGATCTAGTCTCAAGCATGCTTCTTTTGTTACTTTGAAATAAACTTAGTAAGACTATTTACTACGGAATCACAGCAATTGTTTAAGTTTCACAGGAGTCCGTTCCTCATGAACATACATATGTCAGGTATCATATAAACATATGATACTTGTTAGCCTTTCCTTTTAAAGTTGCATGTTCAATAATATATGTCATGAAGAACAGTTTACATTTTGAAACCTACCAATGTGGGTATAATAGACTACAAAGTCTCTAATTATAAGTTCTCACTCTATCATCATTTAGCAGTTTTGTGCATCACTGTAAGAGAAACTTAAAATGTGGAGAATATTTAAAACCCATGAACTTATTTTTGCTATTACACAAGACACCATATGTAATAAAACATTTGTGTGCACATAACTGTATATACAAAAACTCTTACTGAAATTAAATGGGACAAAAATACACTACATCTAAGCAAGACCTACTGACTAGGTTAAACCACTTTGTTTATGGATGAGTGATGAGCACCTCCTATTTGTGTGCTTGGTACTAAGTTCATGAGTAAATACTGCTCTACTGGTAAAGGATTTGTTTAAAATCACAGAAAGTTCTGAATAATTGGATATCCCCATCATCCATCCTTTTAAACAAATCTACAAGCCACAGTAACTAAAAATCTCTGCTACAGCTAAAGAAATACCTCATCTAATTTGTCATAGTCAAGAAGATCAGGCCTGTGTCTATGGATAAGAGCGTTGAAAGCAAGGCCATCTTTCCAACTACAAGTTCACACAAAACACGTTGGTGAGAAAAGGAAAGGACAGCATGCAGGAGATAAGTAACCAAGAAACAAGACACCAAGACAGCTGTTAATGTAACCAAAATGAGCAGTCAATCAAACACAGCCAGGTCAGAAAAGCAAGATCTATTTTAGGATTTTTCTGCATGTGCTTTACGTGCCACAGCTCAGCCTCAGTTTGAAACCTGACCTGTTCTTATTCTGGAAACCTCTAAGAGGGAAATAGTAATGCTGAAGCAGATCTGCTTATGTTCTATTCCCTTTTCTCAGTACTCTCATATAGGATGGCTGTACTGTGATGTTCTTTACTACAGTGCACCACTTTTCAAAGCACAAACTCAATCAAACTAAGTATTGTTTGTGCCATGCTTAAGAACATATATGCAGAGACAGGCAGCTTAGTCATTCCATGAATACATTTATCTGTACAAAAGGTTGTATATAGCATTAGAGAGCAAGCTAGTGTTGATGGTTAGTATTTTGCCCTTTGGTTCAGATCTGCAGTTGTCTTAACAACTGCCTAAATTAAAATCTTGTGTGTTTGGGAGTAAGTTCATTTAATTTTCATCTCTGCACACCTTGGAGCCCCAGCATAAATCTGACACATATACATAAAGCAAATTAAGTTTTCAAATAATTTCATTTCATTCATTTATCTTTTCCCTCATCAAAGGCTTTCTAATAACAACTGATCCCTAGTAAAATCAATATGTAATGGGAGTGCATGGAATCAAAAATGTAGTCTATGATTTCCATTCTCTCTCATCAATATGAAGTTACACTCAACAAATTAAACCCATGATTAAGTTTTCTGATTTACTGATGTTTATGAGAGACCTCAAGATGCATTCATTCCAGAGACCAGAAAATTGTAGGTATGAATTGAGAGCTAACGTGAAAAGACAACATTCCACTTTCTTTTTAGGTTCTATTCTTCAGTAATGGCACTCAGAAATTCTCACATTATTACTAGCTCCTCATTCCTCCCCCTCAAGCCAAAGTGGCTGGCATCTTTTAGAAAGCATGCATTTTGCCAAGAGTAGCACACTGTCATAGAATAGTTTTGTGATTCCCATGAGGTACTACCTAAGGAAGTAAGGGCATCGGTTTTGTTTCCACTTGTCTGAAAGTACAAGTATAATCTAACTGGTGAAATTGGTGAATGTTTTCCATGTAAGTCTAGCAACTTACTGTGTACTCCTGACTACCAAGGTGTTTGTTCTAAGGAATTTTAGGATTAATCTTAATAACATTGCTTATTGCTCTGCTATCTACAGTCATTTACACCAGATGTAGAACAGTACAATACTATCAGTGGTGAATGGAGAATTCCAATGTATTTGATTTAACATCCATATTGGGCAGCGTAAAAGACTTCATCAACTGCCTGGCAGCTAAGGACCAGATTATTTGCAATTAAATGCTGAAGCCATTGTAATGGAAAGGAAAGGACACGGGACAGTCACAAGGTCCCTTCCTCCATGTCTCTGTGTTTTTGGAGGGAGCTTAGAAAGCCAGTCAGAATTAGTATGCACTCCTCAGCTTGTCTTGTAGCAAACATGCTAAGCAAACCAGAAGTGAGCCAAATCACTGCAGGACAGCATGCTGTAGCACCCAGACTGATGACCTTATTTAGCTTGGAGTAGTCAATAAGATCAGGTCGGTGTCTGTGGATAAGTGCACATAATCCAAGGCCATCTTTCCAGCTTTACAACAAAAAATAGAATGGAAAAAGAATTAGTTAATAAAGGCATGGCATTTCACAGTTTGACCCTTTTTCAAGGCCTAAATCAGGCAGGAACTCTCATGTCAAATTCTGACACATTCTGTCAGTCCTCATCCCTTTGAGCTTTTCTGTTACTCTGCTCATTTTCCTGTAGTACGTATGTTACTCTACAGCCCATACACACCTAAGGACTCCATAATACTTTCTAGGCAGTGTTCATGATATACAACAGTTTCTGATTTCAATTGCTTGATTTGTTCAGTGTTCCAGGATAGCTCGGAGTACACATTCACTGATGAAGGTGCATAATCTCCTATTACATCTACACCATGTTCGTGAAAAAATAAAAGGAGAGCAAACCTGCAATTACTTGAATTTGCAGAAGTGATTGGCTTTTTCTGTGTTAGCTATTTCAGACAATTTTAATAGCACAAGCATGTAGTGCTCATAGAATTAAGACATCATAAATCAGCTTAGTTTATTTAAAACACTTCACACATATGACAGCTTCGATCTGAGCTCTTATACTTCAATGTGACTTTAGGACCACTGCCTCTTGAGGAAAGAATAGACAATGAATGGAGCTACAAATAACATCTATTTGGAAAGATTACCAGAGATTCCTTTCAGCCAGAAGCAATTATTCTGAAAGATACTTTATGTAAACACTTCATGCAATCACTGGGACTGTGAGTTTGAGGTTTTATCCTGTGTAGTAATTGTGTGATACTAGACATGTTAAGACTGTTAGAATCCCTGTCATGGAGATGTCTGGGTAGGTCCTTCAAATAATAAATCCATCTCCAATACAAATGTAATACAATTAAGTAGAATATGCATACAGTGTATAGTATAAAATCATCCAGAAGATAAAACTGAATGAAAATGAGCACCAAACTAACAAAAAGCTTTTTTCCCACAAGGTGTAGACTGAAATGGCCTGGAAAGCCCATTGTAAAGTAGTTCTGTAAGTGCTGATCAACCCAAACAATAATCAAGGTACTTCCACTCAAGATGTTTTCCCCATACCATGTATCAGACCAGCATATGTATGTATACACGCTAAGATTCTCATAATGTAACTTACAGCATACTCTGCATCCATATAAATCTCTACTGAAATATACCTCTATACATTCAAGGAAAATAACACATAATAAATTCCAAATCTCTTAAAAGCAATGCAGGGACTGTAAATCAAACAAACTCTTTCTATCTTTGGATGCATGTATGAATTGTATCTTCTCTATTACTACATGTGCTTTAGGTGCTGCACATTATAAATTAATTCAAAACACCAAAACACTGTAATACAGAGCTCTTGTTGTAAGAACTATAAGGGTTCCAAGGAAGGCAAGATTACATGGTTAAACAGCGCAAATGGCAAGTCATGTAGTTTAATGAGGTGCATCACTGGCAGAGCTACGGGAACTAGCCCAGTGAAATCCCAAAACCAGGCAGCCGGCACCCAGCCTGGAACTGCCTTTCTAGCCCTTAATGAAAACACAGAACCACAAGGCTGGAGCTTCACTAAATTTTCCAGCTTAGGTCATGGTTCTGATTTGGAAAACAAATGTGATTAAAGTGCTACTGTTGTGTACTGAGTGCATTTTTGGCTCTTTATTTATAGTTACCTTACAAAATTCTAAAGACTGATTCATCATAATGAGATATTTCCATACTCCACACATTGGTATTTTTGCCAAAACCAGTTTACAGCTACAGAGGCTTTCATTTGAAAGCAGTCATTTGCCAAGTCACTATACTGCATATATTCCCGTATACCAAGGACCTCTAATAATGATGTAATATGGTCATTCTGTATGTAGTAGAGATCTTCTCTTAAATACGACGATGTAAGCCATGGTAAATAATGCCAAAGGCTAGCCAAAAAAAGACTTTGAAGATGATAAAGCATGAAAATTTGAAAATAATCTAATTAACAGTGAAGAATGAAATTCTCCTATTAAATATATACCTACAGAACTGTTGGAAAAAAATTACCTGTAATATTTTAGACTGCTTCTACCCATTGAAATAATGAAAGTTTACCTAAGATGGAAGTTCTGAATGTTCACGTTTCTGTAAGGAGCAGTTTTTCTTTGACACCACAGCAGCAGCCCTTCTTTGGCAGAGGTCTCTGTAAAAGACACCAGGGAGTTAAAAAAAAAAAAAGGAATCATATAACAAGTGCTCAAGTAATTAATTTCTTGTCATCTAAAATGTGGTCAGCCACCTGAAACTGCTTGGCACAGGCCAACATTTAATCCTAAAAGATAACTGATACAAATAGACTAATGAGGATCCATTAGGTACCGGAGGTCAGCTCAACTAGAACAACTCAGACTACAGTCTCAGCCTGCACAATAATTCTGGGATATTAGAAGTTCAGGAAATGATATGGGTTGGACAGCAGAATGTGTATTTGGAGAACAATACCTAATACAAATATAATAGAACTAGACATAAAATACTTGTAGCCTCAGTCCATTTGCTTAGGGGAAGGCATAAGTGCTGAACAAATACCTTCATTATCTGAACCCTAAGGGCATCTAAATCCATAAGTAAAGGACAGAAATGATCAAACAGACCATTAGTCCACATTTAGTGTCTCACAAATTACAGGCAGGCCAGCATGCTGAGCTTGAATTGACTACTTTTGTTGAAGATTGAGATTAGGTTTCTAGAATTCTAGATTTTTCATAGCATAAACTTGATTTAAAGAATACTGTAACTACAACACACTTTTGGAGCCAGTTACCAATGAAAGTTATGAAAAAAAATAATTCTAAAGTGGGGGAGGGTGTGAGGTTTTAGAAAGAAGTAGGATATAATGAGATAATATTTGCAAAGAATGTAAGAAATGGACAGTACTAAGAAAGTACGTTGGGAAAAGGAAAACCATACAAGGTAAGCATAGTTTCAGGCCATGGAAGCCCAGAAACCCAGGCATGTATCTATCTTTGTAACTGAGAGACATGCCCAGAACTTCTGCATTTAGAAAGCTGGCTCGAGGTCTCTGTCAGGATAAGGAGGGTAACTACTTTTTCCCTCCAAAATCTATTTTGTCACCAGGTAGGGAACTTTCAGTATCATTTTCTGTGAAAAAATAATTCATTTTTAAAACAGTCATCTCACTCATGTACGAGTCATATAAAAATGTCTTGAAACAAATTTCCTAATTATTTAACACAGTTGCAGTACTATTACCTTCCACTGAAATATCCTGAATAGCAAAGCGAAGGATGATAGTCCAGATCATACCCAGTGTCATTTTCACATTGCCATCAACAATTTCTAAGGTGAAAAAAGAGACAGTAGTAGTTTTTAGATATTTTTTCATTTTCTCTTATTTTAATTACATATTCCTATCAATAATATATTGCATCTAATAAATTCGTTATATATCGACCATAATTCTTTATCTACACAGAGTTCATCTGGGTTCTATTTTCAACAAACTTAGGCTTGTGCTACCCTGGCAGTAGGACTGAAGATCACTGAAATTATGGTCACTTCAGGCCTTCCATGCTAAAAGGCTTGTCTCCAGGGAGTTGTAACTGTCTCAAATCTTTACCTTTTAGGCTGACTTTTTAAAAGACCCTGAGGGGAAATACGTTCTTAAAGTTTGAACAACATCAGCTTTACTGTTTTCAAATACAAAGGAACTGAGAAAAAATAGTCTTGCCCCAGATTTTAAGAAACTACAGGACATTAACAGTATTATTTTTTAATAAAATGGTTATCAAAAATTCCCCTATATTATTTAGACCTTTTTGAGAATTTTATCTACAGTACCAGCACAGACTAGATATGAAGAAAGCTCAAGAGACACAGCACTACCTGAGACTAAGCTACATAGCTTCCTGCCAAGCAGCTCAGAAACATGGCCATGAGGTTGTAATGTCTTACAGCTCTGATGCCATGCACATTTATGTATCTTTGATTTTAAATGGGATTTTCTGTCTCTGAGGTTTCAATCTGTTTCAGGACTGGTTGAGTGAACCTATAACACAGGGTTCTAGGAAGATGCTTTGTCCAGCCCTTCTCACATATATATGGGAGTCCCTTCCACAAGTAAGTCAGAATTCAGTGCTCCTACATTGTAATATGAACAGTGATACCACTTAAATTTCTCAGCACCAAGAAATGTACAATCAGACTGCTTAAGCATGGTGAAAATGTTAAATCAACCTGAAAAGCATGGTGAGAGACTCGGGAAAACATAGTGAGACTGTAAGAAGGGTCTGGTACTAACAGGGGAAGCAGTGGGACAGTATAAAAAGGGAACTACAGGTTGCCTTCCCAGTCACCTCACACCAAAAGAGCTGTGGAGCAGGGAAGCACCAGCTGCTCTCCTACTTGAAAGTCACCTCCAGCCTTCCTCGAACAGTGGAGCAGCTGTGGCTGCCTGGGGCCCCACTGGTGTTCCAGAGAAGGAGCAGGAGGAGCTTGCAGCAGGACGAATTGTCCTCCATTTAACATCAAATGCCACTAGAGGTGCCAGCAGAAAATGCAGTTGCTCTGCTACTTAGAAGTTGTCTGAATCCAGGGGCAACTTTTAAAGAACAAAGCAGCTGCTACCTCCAGGACTTAAGACACATGTTAAATTGCAGCGGTATGTGACACAAACTGTCATTTGAACCTATGGAATTAACAAATGTGGTAGGAGACACACCACCCATCACTAGTCTATATGTACTTTGCTAGTGTGATAATCTACCTTGATATATGAATGGCCGTTTTTCCACTTCCCCCTCTGGGTTCTACACTAATTTACCGGAATTCTTAACTCATTTTGCCAGCCTTCCATGCATTCTTACTATCCTATTTCTCCTGAAAGTCCTCAAGTCTCTTCAAATCTCAAAACTAAACTCTCCCAGCCAAAAGAATCCAAATGGCAACTAGGGCATGTAGCTACTTCTCTCTCCTCCTGCCTCCTTGGTCAAGCATTTAATTGTATTTTGATGAGAAGTCTGATACGTATATACAGTAAAGAATAATTTCTTCAAATGTAAAATAAATGAGTTTAAATACTCAGGAGGCATTGCTGATTGTCAAGCAATCAATTCATGGATTTGCCTAATCACTACATCGTTGTTTTGATTTACATACCCGTATGTACACACAGACAGAACGAAAGAGCAAGAGAGAGACTTTTCTATGTTGTGCCTTACGGAGACTTTTCAACCAATTTGCCAAGTTTGATTTCTTATTATCTACAGCTAGCATAACACACAAAAAAGACATGTATAAAAGACAGGGGAAAATATCTAAACAGAAAGAAAACAAAGTTGCTACACGTTGAAAAGTATCAGTGAGGAAAAAATACCAATTCATTCCTATCATTTTCCTCTACAGGTCAATAAAAAGACTTCAATATTTTCTTCACACTGTCTGTTTGCTCTGGAAGGAATATAGTTCTTGCACCTCACATACGCAGAGCTACAGCTTTCTGGGGAAAAAAGGTCTTGCTGACCTATGAAGGCAGGAAAGGAGAGAAGGGAAAGGGAAGGGGAAACAAAAACTACCTAGGGAGAAAGCTAAGCAAAGCAGTGTGCCAAGTTCTCAAAGGTTTTAGTGTCACTTTTTTATTCTGCTTTGGTTTTGTTTATTTTTATTCTAACCTTCTTGTAGCAGATTCACAGATCATTTGATCTTTAGTATTTCTCCCCGCTGCCCAGAAAAGCCATACAGAAGTGTTTCCTATTAACAAGATACTTATCTTTTGTGTTTCTCAGTATCGCAGTTCTTTTTTCTTTTTTTTTAGATGCAATTACCTTACAAATGGAGTTATTGCACTATTTAAAGCTTAAGGGAAAACTTCTGGACTGTGCATGGCTCGTAAGGACTACTTTCACAGCTTTTGCTTTAGCTTCTTGACTCTCTAGTCTCATTTCATCACCAGTGGAGAGAAAGACTCTTCCACAAGGCATATCCAAGTAGCTAAATTAGACTTCTGCTCAGCATCACAGTTAAAGGTGATCACCTGTCTGCACTACATAGACAGCCCAAGGAAGTCAGCCTCAGAACAGTAATAACGCCTTTAAAGAATATCCCTGCCTCTTTAAAAATACTAAATTGAATTTCATACTAGTGTCCCACAGCAATCACAGTTTAATCTTTGTTTAGAGGATCCATTTTAAATGCCAGTTGGTCCCCTTGGGCCTACATGCTCTTCACTCCTCAGCATATCAGATAATAAACCACGATTCTCAGCAGATTTAGATGCAAAACTTTCATGCTCTGGAAATTAAAAAGTATTCCAAGCATCCATGTAACTCAGAGAATGCCAAAACAGATGGATGCAGACAAGCCCTTGCACCACATGCTTACACATAGGGGCAGTGAGCTAAGGGGTTAAGGACTTTGATAACAATACAAGCTTAAGGAGCCTGTGCTCCGCCTTCTCGCTGGCATTCATTCCAACTTCATCCTAAAATGACTGCTCAGTCAACAATGCTGAAAAATGCAACAAAAGACAAAAAAGAGGTGAAGTGTGGTTTAAAACCAGATCAGATTGCTGATCCAGCCTCCAGCATAGCTAAAGAAACAGTTGTCAGCCTAAGTGATAGGGTTGGGCTGTGCAGTGTGGGAGCAAGTATGCAGGACAAGGGGGCACAGGGACTCTTTAAACACATACTGGTGCCAGAGGTCCCACACTGTGAAACTATACCCAGTCAGATGTGATACTGCATTGCTGCATCAGCACGGCACTGTGCCTTAGATAACAAGTTTAGTAGAGGGGACGTGGTGAATGTAACAGAGCACTAAGCACATCTGGGCCAGAGCTTGCTTTGTGTTCCGCCTGTTTAGAGTAGGAGTGGAAGGCACACGAATCTATCTGCTCCTGCCCACATGGATGTAATCTAATGTGTGTTAGTAGCCATACTTGACATAGTGCAATGTCTTACAATGACAGATTCCTCTCTGCAGCTAAGCTATGACAGTAGCAGTGGATTCTTCTCCTGTACTTCCACCCAAGAATTTAACACGTGGCTTCTAATGCTAATGAATGAACTTTTGCTTCTAATCCCTCCATTTTACAGATCAAAAATGCCAGAAACAGGCAATAAAAGCCTGCAGCACAGCCAAGAACATCACCTTAATCTCCTGGCTTACTAAGTACGGCCTGCTGTTACATGCAGGAAGAAATAATGAGTGCATGGACAGACATCACCTTACAGCAACTGGTTGAGAAGCTGGAAGAAGTTACTGCCTCTTGTTCCTGCCCCACTCCCAGAGGGAATTACCTATTATGACAGAGCATCTAAATTCATGCCACTTGCTGCCAAGAAGAACAGCAGGGTTAGTTTAAATGGGTTTAATGGCTGATACAAGCTATCCCAGATGCTTTGCCTTCAGGTGATACAGAAAGTGCTCAAGCGCTGAGCACCGTGGCAGAAATGAGCTGCAATAAGCAGGGCAAAATGAAGGAGATGGGAGTGCACAGGGCTGGCCTCCGCCTTTCAGAAGCAGATATGACTGATCTGTCTTGGCTTAAATACTCCAGCCTTGCTTGAAGGACCTAGGTGTGAGAACAGTACAAAACATTGTGCAACCTGTGATCAGAGACAACCACCCTGTCCCATGACCATTCTTCTTGCTACACTCTTGTTTTCAGTCATGAAGCCTGAGAGTCCCAGCATGATATAAGAGAAACTACCATTGATTTGCTCCACATTCTGTACTCTCAGTATTTCTGCACCAGCTATCTTAATTTTCATTTCCACACATAAATTGTCTCTTCAGTACCCTCTGCTGTCTGTTCAATGCCATGTCGCTTTCAGAATAACAGCAGAGGTTTAGCTGTAGCGGCATATTTTTCCATCCCACTTCATTTAATTAAGCAAAAGGCTCAGGTGCTCCTGACTGCCTGTACGACTTATGGAGGGAGGCAGCCACCTCTGAAATGAAGTAGAGCTCTTCTGACATCTGAAATACCTTTGGGAATTGCCTGTTTCTCCCAACTGATGACATATTCCCAAAAAAAAGGTCTCTGTTATGTGCCTGAAGATAGATGGTATGGATTTGGCCTCAGATGGCCCACCCAGTTCAGACTGAAATGAGTAAAGCGTGAGTTCAAACAACTCATCTGCCTAAAGAACATGCATTTCTTGGGATTTTGGAGTTCTAGATCTAGAAACTGAACACATCTGGAGAATGATACTTGAAGAACAAAATGGGCTAGGTCAAACCACTGAGGACTCAATGAATGCTGATAGATCCACTAATCCACTACTTCTACAGATGCTCCTGTCCCACCTAATGAATTTTCCTGCTTCAGCCACAATTACACTAAGCTTCCTGAGATCAAGGTTTGGAACCCAGAATAAGGACGTATGTAAGCCTGGAGAAATCAGAAAACTAGAAGAGAAGGCTAATAAATCAATCTTAAAAGGCCTAGAGATGTGAAGCTATACAAGTATCTCCATGGAGCAGCCAGTTCTAGGCAGACCTTTTTAATCCTAATTAAACAATGAATTGACTCTCATAAAAAGCGTAAGTCCACCTGCAGTGAGAGCCTGACTTCTTTTCCTTAGAGTTTACATCTATCAGCATTTAGCCAGCCAACTGCATGTTTGTATTTAACTACCTGAACATCAGAACAATAACAAAATAATAACTTTAGTAAACATCCCACTGCACTCTCTTCAATTGTTCAGTCTCTCCTGAGCTGCCACAATTTCTTTTGATCACCCCATTAACTCTACATGTGAATTTTAGAAACACAGCTGCCATCCACAGTAAGTTTCATAATAAAATGGGAGTAGGTCCCAGTCACCTGGTAGTGATGTCAGCCTTTGTCTTGTCTGAATAATACCTCCTAAAGATTACAAAATGTCCCAGACTGGATAAAGCACACCCCAGAATCCAACCTGATTTCTAAAGGAGCTCTTTACTTCCAATAATGATTAGGAAAAACATAATGCTCTGAAAGAAGAAATCATTATCTGAACCACTGAAACACAGACAATTCAACTTAACACTGAAGATAAACTAATCTTAGAGACCATTTATACCCCATGTCTCTCCAAGTGACCACAAATTTCCACGTCTTTTCCTTTCACAGATATAAGTCAGCAATCAATATTAACGGACTTTTGAGGCACCCATATATGGAGAATAGCCCACGTAATTTGGCCAAGTGTCTCTGTCAGACGTCTTTGCCACGTGAATGCCTAGGACCTAAGTAAGGTGCATTGTCAAGCTCTGTTACCTACCTTCTGCACCAATTGACACAAGTTTCACTCCTTTGCTGGCAATATAATCCAGAGCTTTGTTGACATTAGCAATTTTATGGAAGCGCATCTTCCCTCTGTCTGGTTTCGGTAGTCTTTCCCCTGCAGAATAACAAATGTAATGTGTTTATTGTTACATACACCTGGCTACAGACACCAAGCAATTAGAACTCAAGAGTGAATGTGCCCTGAACACTGTCTAAAAGTTAGCAGTTATTTTAACAGGTATTTTTCTGAAAGCATGTCAAACAGCTTTGAACAAAACCCCAAGGAGAAAGTTCAAATGTTGAAACATCTGACTTAGATCTTTCTTGATACAGTGGTAAAACCAGAGTAAAATGTTTATCTTTGCCCTAAATATCTGAGAGACAGGTGAGTGCTTCCTGCTACTCAACTTCTAGCTCATTGCTTCTGTCTGTGTTAGAGTACCTGAATATTAAGAAGGCAGGATGTGTTCCCTGTTTTGAATAGTTAACAATTTTTGTTCTTTAAGAGTATTTCAGTTAGCATGCTGTAAATACATAGAAAACCTCACTTTAGCCAACCTGAGATAACTTCCAAGAGGAGCATCAGTTTGAGGCCATTTCTGAAGTCCTCCTCAATGTTCTCAATCTGCGTGCCTGCTTTCCTGAGGTGGGAATTGCACCACGCTGTAAACGTCTGTAATAATAATTAAAACAAAATATTTATCAACAAGGCATTTTCTAAAACAATTGCTAAGCCATGGGAGTAAATGCTGCATCTGAGATTTCCACTACTGCCGTATAAATTTGAATGTCCAACTCTCATGCATTTTTTACATGTTGCTGAGTTCAAAATTCTTATCCCAGATGTTCATGAAGATGCAAAGAATTACTTGATTAGAAGCAATATTGTGATAGATTCTGCTCATAAATGCATCCTAAAAAAAGATCTGCACATAAAGGCAAAAGTTTTCTAATAGTTATTACTACTCTTAACATTTTATGAGCACGTAACTTTACGTTGGGACTTATATGCTACACATTCTTCCTGAAAAGAAAGATTGATATGGCATAAAGAAAGCTGCGTGAAAGTAAAATGGAGGCAATAGCAAGGACAGAAGCAAAAACTTCTACTACTTGAACTCATGTCATGATAAACAGTTCTTCTACAGATTATCTATGGCAGGGGCAAATAACATGCATTTCTCACAGGCAAGAAGTTGTGAGAACACTCTTCAGAATGAAGTAACTGAAGAGAGACTTCTCTTACTTGCAACTACAGTGAGAAACAGAACTCCTTTTGAAAACATGAACAATTAGAACGGATTTTGAAAGCTTACAATAATTCCAGTGCAGAAGTTTCACATTCAGACCTTGCAGACACAAGCTGCCTTACCAACTCTTTTCATTTTTAACTGTATAATCTTTAGAAAACTGCTACAACTTGATGAAACACACAAATGCAGATACTTAAGTCTGGAGGGTAAATAGGACACAAAAGCAAACATGCGCATTTCTCTCCATGGAGAATAACCAAGTCTGCTTTTACTTGCAGAGAAAAGCAAAACTAACTCCATTGATCTAGACAGGTCATATACATGTTACCTTTTTGAATGAAATCAAAATATGGGCTAGTAGTAGTTGTAGAAATGTAGTTGTAGGCTAGAAAAGTAGTCGGCTAGAAATGTAGTTGCTAGAATTAGCCTGTTTCAAAATGCTCATTACTTCTCAACCTTCTGACAAATTCTCCTTGCTTTTCAGTTAAGATACAGAAAACAAATTTACTAGGTATTTCACCAGGTATTTAACTCTAGATATATAACAAGGCCATACATTTTGGTAAATTAGACTTCAGCTACTTAAAATTGTCAGATATATGGAATTCCTCTTCCTTTGCTATTTCAAATTACCATGATTTTAAATATTATTACCATGATTACCGTGGTAATAATATTGCCTTATTATAATATACAATATAATTTTAATATTGTTACCATGATTAAAAATATTTAATGTAAATAGTTTAAAAAAATAAAATATATCCTAAATCTCCATTGTCAATATGAAATTTCCTTTGTCCTCTTTTCTTGCCTGTTTTTTTAAACTGTTTAATTCCTGATCTCTCAAAATAAGAAAGTCAAATAGATGAAGGCAAAAACTTTCCCTGAAACTGAATCTTGTAAATTTTAGACAGATTTCCTACCTTAGGAAGATATGGATTGAATTTTTAAAAATGTCCTATTCTTAAAAATGCAACTTTCTGTTAAAGAATAACATTCTGATTGTCACTGGGTTATACTCAGTTTATGCAAAGAATTTATGTGCAGCTTGCTGGGCTCTTTTCTCAGAGCTTCTACAGTAACAAGGAACAGCCTGTTCTATCCACTTCTATGCAATTGAAAGGAAGAAGCGAGAAGTGCTATGGATATGGGGGAGCTGTGCAGTGAAATCCCTAATTCTCTATATTCAGAGAAAGAGAAGAGAAAAAAACAGTATGGGAAGCAGATCTGGGCAGAGTTTCTGCTGACCTGCAGAGGATGAGCTGCAAGTAGAGGCATAAAAAAATCTTTCCTTTTACAGATGAAGTATAGCTGCAGCTGAAGCATCTCTGCAAATCTATCCATTTTAATAAAGGGATACTAGCTTGAAAAGCAGTCACTCAGGAAGGTAAAACTTTCCTCATTTTAAGGTATCTAGCTTTACTGAGCTCATGAGAGACCCGGAACCAGTGTATCAAGCAACACAACAGAGATACCAGGCACCTCTACCCTCAGGGTTCAACATGATGGAGTCTCAGGATAGTATTTGGTTTGGATCGTTATAGGGGTAGGATCCAGTTTATAAGATTGATTTGTCTGCCTCAAGCAGTACCTTGTTCTAGTGATATGTATCTAGAAAGGCTTAGCACCACATTAAGTCATTTGTTAATACCAAAAAATTATAACAAGTATCCTTGGAAGGAACGATATTATGGTAATACAGAAAAAACTGCTGAAAGAACTCGAGGGTAAATGCACATGAACCTTGCATGGCAATTTGGCAAAAATATCAGAAAACTGAACCAGTAAATGAACGAGCCTTTCACAAATTAATCTTAAGTGATGTGCTTATCTGCAGATGCTATTGCAGTTTGTAGGATTTTTCCAGCACATCATGCTAAACTCAACAAGGAATTTGAAGAAAAACCTCAGCCATTTTTATCTCCTCTTTTAGACATTTATGGTGAAAGTTCTGACCCTGTACTACTCAAGTAAATGAGCTTTCCCCAGTTTTCATTTAATTAACAGTTTAATGGCAATGACCACACCAGTTGAGCAGTCTTGAAATACAAATCAGATTCCTACTGTGAAGAAAGCTACTTCTCAGTTTCTTAAGAAAAAATGGAACCAGGCACTCCTTAGCTTATATATGTATATATAGATATATATATAAAAGCAAACTAGAATTTTGTCCACTTCTAATTTCACTGTGGTCCTCTACTTTGCCCCTACAACAGCTGATTCAACTTACTGGATGTCGCACTGCTAGACACACAACATAAGTTCTATCCAAAGATCACAAAGTTTTCATGTATTTTAAACAGTTTCTCTTGAAAACAGACATTTTTTATGGCACTGAATTTGCTGAGAGACAAACTCTCTTCTCAATCCTGTTCATTTTATGAAGACACTAAGCAACCAGTGTTGCTATGATATAAACAAGGAAAAGATGCTACTAGTGCTGAGTCAAGGTGTTTTCAATAAACAGTTTGATGACAGTCACTGGTTTTATGGGCTGCCTTTTTCTATCTCCAGGTTATTTAAGATTCTTTCCAGTAGCATTGGGGTTTGTCATCAACATTGTAGCATTTTGAAGGATAAATTTGGAATTACCTACAAAGCCTCCATTCATAAGAAGTTCCGCTGAAGCACTACTGTGTGTAGATTCTTTACTTAGACTATCTGTATTTAGATAGCCTAGATTATCTTCTATATATTGAATAAGAGATTTAGATCTTTTATATAGACCATAGTTGCTCAGAGCTTTCTGTTTTACCAGTGCACCAGATCATGAAATGGTGCTATGCCCTTATGACAGTTGTCGTGAGCCTCATGGGAAGTGTTGCTGCAGTACATTACAGAAGACTCTCAGCATGTGCTTCGTAGCTTGGTGCCTTCCAAACTGGCTTATTTTCCTGGGACTAAACATGGCTACAGGAATGCTACTTAAGGAAGTGTTTACTGTGTTTCAGTGATGCAACCCATAAGTGACTCTATTAAAGTGACTGCAAAACTTAACTTGCAAATTCTAACAGTTTCCACAATCCACATTTTATTTCACCCTCATCCTTCTATTCTTATTGTGACACCACTTGTTCTCACTGCTTTGGCTTTAACTAACAATTCTATTCATAGCTATTAAGAAACAATTCAAAGCACGTTTAAGTCATGGAGATCAAGATACAGCCAGCATATAGTACCCTGCAAATTTGTAATCCACGGAGATTTAAAAGCTATTAAATGACTTAGACAATGCAAATTCCTTTTTCTGCTGAACTGTACAGCACATTTCAGAATATCAGATTGCCCAGAGAAACAAGGCAGGACAGAAGGCACCAAGCTGAATACCAGGAAGGATACAAATAAGTGCCTAGAAAACTAGACATTTCTTTTTATAATGTATTTACCATGGGTAGCTCTACTAATTTTAAAAATAAATAAAATTTTCTCCCTTCCAAAGTTGTTACTACAGAAGAAACTTTGCTGGTGTTCTTAGATGAGAGTACACAGAAGAAAGGCTGCGGGGCAGGAAGCCAAAGAATTTGCAGTCCCACAGGTATATGTTCTCTTAATGCACTATTGTCCACTGCTGTCACAGCTCTACTTTGGAAAAGCTAGCTCTAGAAAAGGGAGCACAGCTTATGTTCTCTGCCCACTAAGCCTCATTATGAAGACTGGCAATAGCATATTCTCCATAATTTGGATTCATAAAGCTGTGACAGCAAAGTGTGTACCTGAGGGATAAAAACCAAACAAACCATACCTGGTAATTTACTCAGGCCACTTAATTTTACATGCCCTTAACAAGTAGAAGTGCAACCAACGGGCAGAAATAGAAGATATCCCTAATCAATTATCAATCAACGGCAGCTAATGCCAAAAAAATAGTAGGGTACACCCACTCTGTGCAAATATTTTTACACATTATTTTACACAATAAAGGACATGCTTTGATGGAAAAAGTGATATCTCTAAGAGATTAATTCTCCTACACTCCTGAGTAAACCCACACATCATTTTTATGTGAGTGTAATGATAACTTACTTTTGGTAATGCTTCAAAGCCAGAAAACAAGATGCTATAATACTAATTTTCATACGTGCATATGATAATAGGGATACAGAGAATTGAGAAGGCACTGGTAACCATCCTCTCCAAAACTGTAACCCATCGGTTGGCCACAAGACAACTTGTTCCCCCTGCTGAAGATTCAGGGTAAGTTTGGCACCTATAGCGAGTCCAAAATACGCATCACCAAAACAGCTGCATACCCTGCATGGGGACATGTACAGGGTACATTTCAGGAAGATCCATTTACTTGCCCTCAGAATTGAAACTGAGAAGTGGATCCAGCCCAATAAAGGATTGCAGACGTGTATCCTATTTAGTACTTACATCTCATAACTCAGTTCTCTCGAGTGCCAATCAGTTTCTGTTT